TCCCCCAGGCCTTTCCGGGCGGGAGCAGGGGAACCGTTAAAAAATCTCCCCCTCTAACAACCCCCTTACCAAAGATTTTCGGGGGCGGGGGTTGGCGGGGCTCGCCCCCCGACAAAATTTTCCCGGAACTTTTTTTCCCCCTGGGTTGGGTTTTTCAAAAATTCGGGCTGGATTCAGTTTTCCCCCGCCCCCCCCCTCGGCGGGGAAACAAGGGAGCCCTTGGGGCGCTCCCCTGCCACCTGGGGGGGGGCGGCGAACCGAAAAAATCCCCCCCCAGATGGAAAAATTTTTTCCCCCAGGATTTTGCAAACTGGGGAGGTTAATTTTCGAAAGTAACTTAACCTTCTTTAAAACAGGGGTTTCTTTCGTGTTTGCGAAAGCTGCTTCTAATTCAGCGTTCAGTCTCTTTGGAAAAGCTCGTGCTTCCTGGCCAGCTGCACGTTCAGGAGGGGCTGACAGATAGGCTGCTTTCTGGAGCTCGGCGCTTCCCCAGTGGAAGCAGCAGTGAGGAGTCTGTTCTAGCCGGTGATACTATAATTCCGTTTAAAATCCTCTCCCTAACACAATGTTAAATCTCAGACTTTCCCAATAAAACTGTGGGGGGGGGGGTGAATATCTAGGATGCTCTTTGCAAACAAGACCACTTCTAGGAGTTTGTCTAGACAAGTTTTTAAGTGCGAAATGGAAATTATTGTTTAGTTTGAGAACAACTTGGGCGTTAGATCATTTTTTTCTTCCACACCTTTTTGCCCTGTATTTGTATGATAACAGTCAACAATGCTCTGATCTGGAGAATCCTGAACTTTAAAGCCACCCAAATGTGTGTGTGTGCGGGGGAGGGGGGGGGCGGTAATTTTTACTTATTAAGTCATACTAGCCCGTGCTAACAATCCTGGAGGTCTTCTAAGTAATGGGGGGGGGGGATGTGGCCTTTGAGGAGAGGGCTGAATTTACTTTGTGTAACTTTGCATTGTGATGTAACAGCAGCTGCATTTTAAGTGTCACTTGGGAAAACAAACTGAAATCTTACTGAAGAATGTAGTGATGAAGGCTTTCAATTAGTGACTTTAGAACCTTGGGAAGCAATGTCAATTTGCTTAACAGTTACATGGAAAAATTTTCATGACATGTCACACGATATATTCAGGGTTGTTTTGTGTGAAAATATGTGTCTGTAATGTCCAAGCGTGGGTTTCTTGAAATGGAAATTGAAGTGCTAGGTGGGACTGTCCCTCTTGACCAGTGGGATATTGTTTCCCTTATCCCTCAGTTGCTGTAGGTTCCCGTGACAGGATTGGAATGTGGTCTTTGAAGATTTCTTTGCTGGCCCATGAAAGACCTAAGAAGTTGGTTTAAAGGTTTAGAAAATTATGGTGCCTTAGTTCAAGAACTTGGAATGTGAAACTCGTCTCAGTATCTTAATATGCCCTCACTAGAATCACCATCAGCTTCTACCCAGAATTGCTGTGGTGAGTGATTTCTGTGGACAGCTTGTCGGAGTGGAGCAATTAATCTGGCTATAGAAAGGAGGGCTCCTTTTGAGAGATTTCTTTGAAGAGCGGTGCTATTGAAATGCAAGGGCTGTTTCTCAGAGCAGGGAGCCTAGCAAAGTGCTCTCTGCAGATGGGCTACCATATGTTTTATGCCTGGATCCATATAATTTGCCTCAGCACCCCATATGGCTCCATATTTCACTTAATTCAGCCTCAGCGTATCTTGTTTCTTTTATTATAAGCTGGTGATTGTGCTGCAGATTCACACGTGCAGTCCTGGCATTGAGGAAGCTGTTTTTAAATGATGAGGTCTTTATGTCTGAATCATTAAGGAAAGCTCTACACCTGAAAATCCTTTAGCACTTTCATTAACTAGAAGGAAAATACTGTCACACTGATCACAGATGATCTGACTCAAGGAAACAGATATCTGTAACTGCAGATTTTGAACTCTGCCCTTGAGAAATGAAAAGAGTACTTTTATTTGCCTTTTCTTCTCTTAAGCAAACCTCTGCAGTTCCTGACTGGCGATCCAATATAGGAGTTATTTGCTTACTCATACACTTCATGGCCTTCTTCGCCACATCCTTGAGATTGTTTCTGCTCCGCATTGTCTTGGCATTTTGACAGGAGGCTTACTTTACCGCCTGCAACAGGCAAAGTGTGCATTGTCATTATAAATTCATGAAGCCTGGATATTTCTGGGTGTATGCTGCAAATTAGTCATTCTACAGGAGCCTGCGATGAGGCTCAAACTGCTGACCCAAATGCACTTTCACTCTCATTAGCTTTTCTCCCTCCAATCATCTCTACCCCAAAAGGCTGTTAGAAACCTCATCCAAACAAAAGAGCTCAAGGAGTTCTGTGTTATGTGAGATTTCTCAAAGGAATCAGCACCTGCCTGCTATGAAGAAGGAATGAGGAAGGAACGGAAAGAGGAGCTGGCATCTAAATTCTGCTTCTTTCCCCTTCTGAACAATTGCATCTGCATTGCCATGCTGTTCTGACTTTTGATATTTTATGACTATTTGAAATAATTATAAGTAAATGTACGCTCAGATATATTTTATAGACCATAAAAAGAACAAATAGGCACTGCAAGTTTAGCGGAAAGTTCTTGTGCTGTCATTTATTTGTAGTCTGAGGGCTCTTCATTACTGAGTGATTTTGGCCCAGTTTTTATTTCCTTGCTTTCTGCTTGCTGTGAATCTGATTTAAAAGGGAAAAATGTGATACAGTAGTTACACCTTTTTTTTTTAAGCTATCAAGTACCATTTTGAGAGTCAGGAATTTAGGGGACATGGTATGTGGAGGAAGGAAAATGGATTGGAGGAAAGGCCCACTTCCTGGGCTTCATACAGCTGTGTATGATCTGCCAGGACAAGGCCTTAAAATCCCTTTGCCTTGGTTTTTCCCATCTGCTAAATGGCTTTAATGACTTTGGGGTGGTTTTTTGTTTGTTTGTGTTTTTTTTTAACTTTTTTTTTAATATATATATTTTATTGATTTTTTACAGAGAGGAAGGGAGAGAGATAGAGAGTTAGAAACATCGATCAGCTGCCTCCAGCACATCTCCCACTGGGGATGTGCCCACAACCCAGGTACATGCCCTTGACCGGAATCGAACCCGGGACCTTTCAGTCCGCAGGCCGACGCTCTATCCACTGAGCCAAACCGGTTTCGGCTGTTTGATTTTTTTTAATTTTGCTTTTGTTTTGTTGAGTAAAAGTAGTTGAAAATGACTTGATCTACTTTGGAGAGAGGAATTCTATAAATAATAGCTGCTTTTGGTAACTTTGCAATGAGCAAACATAAAATAGGCCAGACACAAGATGTCTTTGTGATTAATATTTTAATCTCTTTTACTCAAGTTAAAGTAACTATCCAATCAAGACTATAACATTTTTCCCTTTTTGGACTTCGAAATGTAAGAAAATGGTTGGGGAGATATCTTGAGAAGTGGTCATCTCCTACCCTTTTCTCCCCAGCTGAGGCCAAACACAGATTACAGGCTATTTAATTTAGATGTAAAGGCAGTTTACTGAAAAGATTAAAATACCTTTTTAAATAATCTTTATTTAAAAAACATTTTTAGTAAGTCTTTATCAGATGAAGTCCTAAATCTTGATATTATCCTGAACTTTGTTATGCTCATATCTTTAAATAATTACATATCTAATAGCACACTACTGACTGTTTTCTCTCACCTAGAATAAGATATTTTATGCCTGAAAAAGGTCACAAAGTTCATTTTAGAGCAACCTCCTCATATCTCAGATGAGGAATGTTAGACTTGAAAAGATTGAGACTTGCTCCATTGTTCAGAGGCCTATAAAGAACGTGTAACACATACATGTTGCAGTTCATGTCTATAAAGTTTGAGGTGGATGGTAAAGGAAAGAATTTCTCTTTTCAGTAATTCTAGTGTCCCACTTTATGGAGCAGAATTAAAAAAAAAAACTGGTGCACATGACTGACCTGGCATTGGCAATTCTTACAATTTTTGTGCTTTAAGAGGTTTTATAAATTTTTATGTGAGGAACTAGTGGCAAAACATCATTTGAAAATTAACTTTTTAAAATAGTAGGGCAGTAATACTTGGTTTTCCATTACTTCATTTCATCACTTTGCTTTAACCATTAAGTATATATGAATTGTTGATTTAAGGGGAAAATCATTCAGATAACTCTAAAAATTCTGTTGTGTTTCTGAAAAAACATAGTTGGAAACATCAGTTTCTGCAGTGTGATTTCAATGTCCTTTTTTGTTTAGTGTACTTTTCCTGGTGAAACTGTTTGGGAGCTGGGATCTCAGGGTGATGGATATCAAGGGAGAAGTGAATACATTGCTTGGTCAAATGTATCACTATTTTTTTAAGAGAACATTTATACTTTGTAAAAACCAGGAGATTAAGTGACAGTTTATATACAATTTATTGATAAACATCTATCAGGAAATGCAGAATAATTTAGTGCTTGGATTTTTTTTTCTTGTTAGCTTTACTAGAATAAGGTAAAGGTGTTTTAGCCAATCATGCTATAATTTAGGGGTTTCCCCTACCTGAGTTGTGGAAGTTTTAATTGTGGTTTTGTGCATAGACAGTGCTTTCCAAAGCAAATTACTTATGCAGTTTTCAAAATCAAAACAAAGTTTACATCTTTTGCTTGGCCTTAGAGCAAAGGAATCTTTCTCAAAATCCATAAACAATAGCAAAGTTGGTAAAATTGTCATTTACAATGGCCCATGCTATAAAGTTTTAAGTTAACTAACTGCATGCAGTTTTTCTCCCAGTGGCTTAATTTGTGAGAGACACAGAAGCACAATGCAACCCTATTTCTGAAGGCCTTCTTAAAATAGGAGGATATGAAATAGAACAAACAGTCCCCAGAGGAGAATGTCATTTTCTCATGTAGCTCAGGAAGTTATGAAGCGTTTAAAAAATGTGTGGTCTTATCTTCTTTCCCATAGGTGACTGCCAACAACCAGCCCAGTGTCGAATCCAGAAATGTACCACAGACTTTGTGTCCCTGACTTCACACCTGAACTCTGCCATTGACGGCTTTGACTCTGAGTTCTGCAAGGCCCTGCGTGCCTATGCTGGCTGCACCCAGCGAACTTCAAAAGCCTGCCGTGGCAACCTGGTATACCATTCTGCTGTACTGGGTATCAGTGACCTCATGAGCCAGAGGAACTGTTCCAAGGACGGACCCACATCCTCTACCAACCCTGAAGTGACCCATGACCCTTGTAACTATCACAGCCATGCGGGAGTCAGAGAACTCAGGGGAGGGGACCAGAACCCTCCTAATTACCTTTTCTGTGGCTTGTTTGGAGATCCCCACCTTAGAACTTTCAAGGATCACTTCCAGACGTGCAAAGTGGAAGGAGCCTGGCCACTCATAGACAATAATTACCTTTCCGTTCAAGTGACGAATGTGCCCGTGGTCCTTGGATCCAGTGCTACTGCTACAAATAAGGCAAGAATACTTTTTTTTTCCTTCTTCTTACTTATACCTTTCAGGTGTCCGACTCTTCAGACAGCCTGGGAAAATTGAAATGAAAGACCTAGTTTAAAAGGAACTTTGCTTGGTCTTCTTGGCAAGCAGTGTTAGCAGGGTGGATGAAGGATTAAATGAAAATTAGTAAGGAATTTCTTGGTGGAATTCTAGGGCTTATGAGAAATGTGTGTGTAAATTTAAATAGGCAATGATACAAAAAATAAAAAGTGAACAGTAATGTTGGGTTCTCTTGGGAAAAGGCAGGCCTGTTTAATGAAAAACTGCTTTTTTCAGTGATGTCTTTTTTGAGTGCATATGTGTATGACTCAAGGAAATCCATGTTTAGATTTATCAGATTTGACTGATGTAGGTTTTCTGAATAAAGAAAGCTGTGAAGCCTGAGGGCAATAACCCATCAGGAAATATATTTTATTGGAAATTTGGAAGCTATGGTAAAAGGTAATGGTTATAAGCCAACTTCCCAATGGCAAGCCTAAAAGTCTGTTAGTTACTGTCCTGTGGTGACCAAGGAAATAAGAATTGGATATTGTAGAGCAGTGATGTATAATCTCAGGCTAACAATTTAAGTGAGAAGCCGAGGGGAAAACTGGCAAAATTAAGTTAAGCTTGCCCTGCCTAGCTGCCAGTATTGCGGTTCTTGTTGCTTGGTTGGTTTTAAAGAAACTAATACTGAATCCTCTAAATCAACTTTAAGTCACCGATATCTTGGTGCAACGATTTTCAACCTTTTTCATCTCGTGGCACACAAAGTAATTACTAAAATTCTGTAGCACACCTTGCCAATCTGACAAAAAAAAAAGATATAATTTTGATTCATTTACACCCAATGGCTGTTCTGTTGGCTGGTGTCATTTTTTTGACAATCTAAGGGAAAAGAGGTCAGTGCCCCTGACTAAAGAGTCAGGTATTGCATGTTTTAAAAATTCTTGCCCTGGCTGGTGTGGCTCAGTTGGTTGAGTGTCATCCATGCATTGAAAGGTCGCAGGTTTGATTCCAGGTCAGGGTACATACCCAGGTTGCAGGTTCGGTCTCTTGTCGGGGTGCTTATGGGAAGCAGCCGATCGATGTTCCACTCTCACGTTGTTGTTTCTCTCTCTCTAACTCTCGTAAATAAAAAAATTTTGCTGTATAAGTGCAAGTAGTACATGCTAGGAACTGGGTTTTCAATTGCCAGTCAGCACTACTTCATTCACTAGTAAATAAAGAAGTCGCAAGGGTTTTCCATAATAATAGTGTCCCAAGTAAGCAGCTCCTTCCCTTTGTTTCCAACCACTAAATCACACATGTAGACAATCTCATTTTGCTTAATTTCCTTTGTTTATTTTGTCTATTCATCAGTTGGCTTAGACTGAAATATAATTGACAAGGATCAATCTTCTGTAATACTGATGACTCTTCTTTGATTTCAGGACCCCTCCCTTGCCTCAAAACCTGTGTGGTATATTTTTAAAGTGAATTTAAGTTATTTTACTTGGCATTTTGTGGAGGGAGTTTATAACACCTCCAGAGATATCTGGAGACACCAGTGGTATCACAAATCTAAGATGAGACGTCATTGCTCTGAACAAAGACTATTACAGTGGTGCAGACATCTTAGAGGAGCTGAAAATGTTTACACTTCAGTCCCAGTACACCCAAGCTGGCCTTTCCAAATCCTACATCTCAAACTTTCCTTTTCTGACTTTTATAAGTATGCACATAATTTTTTCTATCTGAACATTAAAATATGTACTGGCTATGTTATGATGTAAAGTTATATAATTATGAAGTTTTAGGACCAGCCATGGCCAAAAATCCATCATTGAAGCAGTCAGGTCACAGAATCTGAGATTAGTCTTTGGGAAAACATAACACTGGAAATTCAAGAAGGCAGTTCCATTGGGAATGGAGAAAATCAGCATCAATTGTGCAAATAATTGAGGGCTTAGAGAGGTGGTCTTTAAACACTACTATCAAGATTAGTAAGTGCTATGTGCATGGGAAAATGTTGGTTCAACACTGAAGTACTTTATTTAGATCATTCCATTTCAGTTGTGGTTGAGTCTATCATAGTTTTTAGCAAATAAGCAAATAAAAGGTACACCGTTTTTACTCTTTTACTTTGTTTAAGGATCAAAGGTTTTACCCATTCTAAAGAAAGGAGGTTGGGGGTCTTGTCTTGACATAAATTCAGGCCAATGATGAGAATGCTTGGTCTTTAATTGCACTATTGGAAAGTATTTCCCCACATCTGGTCACCATGCTGTTCAGCAACAAATTACTCTATGGCTTCATGACCTCTAGTAGTTGTTTTTTTCCTTTTTGTTGTAACTCTCTCCAAAGCCCCCAGAAGCATCTGGAAGGTTACTGTTAAAGGTCTCTCAATGCTGGTATGACCTCTGCTGATGAAACTAAGAGAAAACCTAAAATTCTGCAATACAATTTCCTTTTATCTACCCAGGGACAAAATAAAACCTGTAAAAAAATTCTAAGCAATGAAAAAATGATGGTGGTAAAAGTAAAAACAGTATGAGGCAAAAAGTACTTACGAAATAAGTTCAAAAAAGAATCTGATTTTTTTCCCCTTGATGTCTATGCAATAGTATAAAAACACCTTTCAGAAGATTTTTTACTGAAGCTTTGGACACATACGTAGACCAGCTATTGGATAACCTAGCACTGCATTTTGCAGATACTGTGCCATCCTTGTGATGAAGCGTTTTTAATGACCCATGTGCTCAGTGTTACTAGCTTTAAGACTGACCGATGGTATTGATGAGACTGATCAGCTGTGATACTGAAATCATATTTAAGCATCTACAGTGGGGCCTTGACTTACAAGTGTCCTACTAACGAGTTTTTCGAGATAGGAGCCATCTCTCGGCCGAGTTTTTGATTTGAGTTGCGAGCTAAAATTCGGGTTACGAGCCAGCTTCAGATACCCCACCGCTAGTTGGCGCAGCGAACGTCACAGTGAACGCCACATCAGCCCAGCATCACGTGTCTCACTCGTTCACGTTAAGATTTGACATACGAGTAATTTGAGTTACGAGCTCCGTCACAGAACGAATTAAACTCGTAAGTCAAGGCCCCACTGTATTAATTTGCCTGCCTTCAGCACTGAACTCAAGCACTAGACCTGGGTATTTTGGCAGTAAGGTCCCTAAAACAATTCTTCATCCTGGGAACCTGGCTTCTTGAGCAAGCACTTTCAAGCTTAGCTTTGTGAGCTCTACCTGACCTTCATTGCCCACTTTTCCTCATCACAAAAATACAAAATTTAGTGGAGGGATATGTAAACAACAAAATGAAAAGTGAAGTCATCTGTACTCCAGGGACCATTTACTAGCCACGCCTTCCCCTTTTTCCACATGCAGGCAGTGAGGTCAGGGCAGGTAGGCCTGCAGTGCTGGACAGTGTGGCCCCGTCCCCCCATTTGTCATGGTGAGCGCAGGTGTGCTTCCTCGGGGCCTCCAGGGTTTTATGTCCTCTGCCAGCCTGCTAGGCTGCCTCTCTGGAGCAGTCTGTGTGGTTGGCCATCTTGCCAGGTAGGTGTGTTCCGAGGCCAGGGCTGGTTTTTCATCTCTCCACCCCTCGGGGCTGCAGGGGTTTCTGGCACAGCTACACACCTGGGCTGAGATCCACATCAGCTCTGGGCCATCTTCCCCACCTTTGGCTGTGAGAGGCGCTTCAGACCTGCAGGCACTGGGGGAGAGATGAGAGGACAGGCTTAGAACTGGCAGGGTTGGTTACTTGGGAAAGAAAAGCAGTTTTTGTTTGGGGGAGGAGTAGTGCACACTAGGCTCCAGGCGGACACAAGTCAATAACTCTCCTGGGCCTCTCCAGCGAATAAACGGATCATCTGTGGCAGTACTTGACTTCTGTACCTTCTCTTCCACATTCCCCTTGCAGTCCCTCAGTCTCAGCTCCTGTGTTCTTCTCTGTATCTCTGGATCTCTGTTTAAGTGGACTCAATAAAGATTTGTATATGCTGTGATTGTAGAAAGTGATTTTGATAAATTATTTTATGAAAGGATTCTGTACTTTGCAAATATGCTATATTCCTAATAAACTATAGCAGTGATGGTGAACCTTTTGAGCTCGGCATGTCAGCATTTTGAAAAACCCTAACTTAACTCTGGTGCCTTGTCACATATAGAAATTTTTTGATATTTGCAACCATAGTAAAACAAAGACTTATATTTTTGATATTTATTTTATATATTTAAATGCCATTTAACAAAGAAAAATCAACCAAAAAAAAATGAGTTCGCATGTCACCTCTGACACACATGTCATAGATTCGCCATCACTGGCCTATAGTATTAAAAAATCAGTTCGTGAGGTGCATTTAAAATTATTCTTTTTCCAAAAAATTTCAGGTATGCATTTATTGCACACCTAAACAATATTTTTTAAATTATTTTTTATAAGTAATTTAGATACTTTTGCTTTACTTTTTATTTTATTTTAATGCATGTCCTTTCCCATCACTATAGCTTTCTTATCCTCCAGTCTCAGTGAGACAAAATTACAAATGTGGGGGGTGGTAAGCAGGGGCTGACAGATTTTCCTGTGCTTCATCCTTTAGTGGGAAGGTGGTTTACCTTAAGGCAGTTTGCATTTGGGAAAGAGGTGTTCTTTGTGCTTGACCAAGCCTGGTGATTTTTGGCCAGGTGAGTGGACACTGAGGTGCCTCATATGTTCTTGCTGCCACCATGGGCCACCGGCTCCAGGTTATCCCATGGGCAGTAGCACCCAACTACCCAAAGCATAGGAAGAGGTCCTTACCCTTCAAGTTTCTCTCTATATATTTAAAAGTTCCTAATTATCCCTAATTCTTAAACTCTTTCTAGAAATTCTGAAAATTTTCACTGGGATGATGATGGAAGGTGAAGAATTAGTTTGTTTGGTTCATTCTTGCTTACTATGTTCTTCAAACCGTAGACCCAACGTGTTCCTTATTTGCTTGTAGGGTC